TAAAAGGATCCTTGTTAAAATCAGTAGGTAAAACTGCTTTTTATAAATAAACCCCACTTTCAGGCAGTAACATTTTTGTCCTCTGACAGTATGAATGCCTTAATTAGAATCAACACAGGCAGCAATTTTAATTACAAAGTTTGTCTTTTATCTGCCGAAGTCCCATAAAGAATTTGTTATATTGTGTTATTTATTTATTGACACTGTCAGAAGAGGCATCGTGCTTTGTGTTCCCATCCATAATTGGCTTTGCTGGTCTCAGTGAAAGCCATTATTATTTCTATGCATAACATTTTACTTCTGAAAAAGCATCTTCATTACAGCTCCAGTCCTCCCAAGCAAAGCAATCGTTTTGAAAGCTTTCAGTGTGTTCTTTTTTTTTTTTATACTGGATGCTCATATCTTCTTCAAAATCAGCTTAGTAGAATATAGTCATTTGTTTTAGAAGGCTGTATAGACTCCTAAAGGAAGTAAAAGGAAAGAAATGAAGCACAGAAGTCTTTGACAGATTAACCTACGTTAACATGAGTATGTGTACAGCTAATGATGGGTAGGCTTTCCTTAAATAAAACCAAAAAAAGCTGTTTTCATAATGGCAGTGAGTCGTGATTAATACTAACAGTGCATTTTTTCTGCCTAAAATATTTTTTTGACAGATTAGTGAATTCATTTCTGGTCCAATGCTGCAATATGGTTTAAGAAAGATAAGTCTCTGTGATTTTATTTTTATATCTCTTCTTCACTGAGGACATCAATATAGTTGGTAGTTGAAACCAAATCCAATTTCCCTTTGAGAAGTTGCTTAGTCAAATTCTGCTTGGAGGTCAAACCAAGTCAGGTTTGTACAGCTGTCACTTGAGGAGTTTCTCTAGCACACGAGTCAGTGTCTAGGTTATTTTTTCTGGTTTATAACACTTGAAAAATTCGCAGTTGTCAAAAGCTGATATGTATTAAATGATCTCAAGTAAGGGCAGAGCATTTTTTTAAGCCATTTTTTTAACTTATTTGGTTTTGGGAGGTCATCAAGTTTATATATACTAGTTTACAGGAATAAAAACAAGATAAGAGACAAAAAAAACCCACATATAATTAAAAAATTCTGCAGTTCAGTGGAGCTACTGAGCTAGAAATCAATTTTCTACCAGCCCAATTGCAGAATATGGTCTGACAAGTTTACCTCTTCAGTACTGAACTTTGCCATCATATAACATGGGTATCTCAGAGAAGCTGTGAAATGGGCCACAACAAGGAGCAACAAGTTAATAAAATGGCAAGTTGTGTGTGTGGAGGGAAAGAAATCAGGACCTTGGCCACAATTCACTCCTTGATGAAGCCAGGTAGGCTGCAGCAGCAGCCTGGGTGGGGTGAGCTATCAGTTTGCCCTCCCTATTGCACTGAGGACTCTGCCTAGCACTGGTGATGCTGAAGCCCAAAGACTGTCTTCTGAAGAGCTTTTAGACTGTTTCAGTGTATGAAAACCAGTGCTGAAGTGTTGGTTTTTTTGTGTCTCATCAACAGAATGCATGTAACTGAGAATAGTAAAATAATGAAATAATACACTCACACTGAAAATTTTGACATCCGTAGCAACTGTGGCTGAAGCAATCATCCCAAAATTCAGTCTATGACTTCCTCCCTTCTGTCATGGGTTTATCCTTGCTAATATGCTGCTGACTTTTTATGAGTACTGAAGATAAAAATACCCAAGAGTAAAACACTGTGTCCCTGTTTCTGTCATTTCCTTCTCTGACAAAAGCTTCTGAGATTTGTATTTATAAAGTCAGATGTGGCCGTTCTGTGTTCAGTTGCCCATGCTGGAAATACAAATGCTCTAAACAAATATTTTTTCATGGTAAAACCTTATTTGCAGAAAATTCCTATCTGAATTATTCCATCATGCCCAGCATTTTCATGGCTATTGCTTTCTTTAACAAAATCAAGGTGGTCTTTAGAAGTCTGCTATGTGAGGCTTTCTAAGTGAAAGCCATGCCCCAAAACTGAAAAGGTTAATTAATGCAGCTAGATAGATGTGAATGAACTGAGTAATAAAAAGGCACAGTGAGTTGCCTGTCAGGTTGAGGCATGAGTGATAACTTTCCTTTGCACTAATAAGATAGGAACCTTTTAGAGCAGTGTTTTCAGTTTCCAGGTGGCATTCAAAGGAGCCATGAGAAAAGAAATGCTGGACGTGACACAATCATTACTTTCCAGCCAGTCACATAATTGGGAATGTAATATAACCTTTAGTCAACAATAAAATTAACCTTGATTCCAGACAGATATGTGTATGTGCTGAGAAAGTATCTCTGTTGTGGGTGCCTTTTGCAAGCAGTGGATTATTAAGGAAATACAATAACCTAGCCACAAAATGAAATTGGATTGTTGCCTTTCAAAATAGAAGACTCTTTTATTCTGGGTTGTTCTTAATAACATGCAGCCACTCGGTTGGGTAATTCAATAAAAGGTTTCCTTTCCAACCTGTTTCCCTTCCCCTTCATTTCTTATACTTCTCTTTATATGCAGCTACCTCCTATAGACATACATAGATGTAAATGACCTTAAGTACAAATATGTGTCTCCACAGAAAGCAGTAAAATGTTTCAGCTGATTTGTTCCTCTGATTGATTTTAGTATTCTGTATTGTAGCTGAAATAAAATAACATAGGAAAAGGTGGTCAGTCAGGCAATTTAAACACCACTGAGTCTCTTTTAAAAAAATAAAACCAACACAAACCCAAACCAAACCCTCCCCATCTCCTTGAGATTTAAAAGACACCCAGGAACTGTTTGGACTGTTAAATACAGTGAATATTTAGTGGGAAAGGAAAAAAGGATGTCAGTGAGTTTCTGAATGCTGTTGCCTGAAATTGTTCATTGCTTTGGAATAAAGGGGATGGAAAACCATGAGAAAGCTTGAGAGCAAAGAGCATTTCTTACTATTGAGGTGTTTTCTCTCTTTTCCCAAACAGGGTCACTGCTATTACCACGGCAATGTACAAGGGTACCCCGACTCCTCAGTCAGTCTCAGTACCTGCTCTGGACTCAGGTGAGCCAAAATTTCAGCAATCCTTGAGCTCCTTAAGAAACCATCCTAGTACGTGTTGAGTTTTGCCTTTTAATGATCTTCATTTTTCAACTGTTGGTGAAATTTCTGTAAAAACATTTTTTACTCTAGTTGTTCTGAAGAAAAGAGAAAAAAAGATAAAATAGATGAAATAGATAGTGCAGTTTGGGGGGTTTCCATGATGTCCCTTGCTCTCTTGCTATACCCTTCCCTGTACCCTTTTGCAGAAGGGTGCTTGGCACATTTTGGGGCTGGCAGTGCCCAGTGACCCTCCAGTTCTCCTTGTCCTCCAAGCTGTTTCACCAGGGATGGCAGGACACCTTTGCAGCTGCAAACACATTCGTTGTCCAGCAGCCTCATCATTAGGAGAGATTGCTTTGTAAATATGGCTGTGGAGCTCAATAAATTGCTTTTGTGGTAGGTATGATGCTCAGCGTTAAGGTTTTAGCTCCTTGTTAGCAGAAGAGTAACAGATTCACATTGCTGAAAACCAAACCTCTTCCAAGCTTGAGGAAGGAACAGGCTGACAACATTTTAAATCCATAATGGACACAGATCAGGAAACAATTATCTTCCTTACTTGGACAATGAGAGACTGGTATTTACTCACAGAGCTGTTCCTAATCACAGTAATTAACTGTAAATTGGCTCTAGCGTTCTCCCTGGAAAACCCAGTTTTCCTGTCAGATTTCCAGCTGTCTCAACCTTTTCTGGGTTTGTTTAATTTATCTACAAACAGCGTGAGTAGCTGGAGCCTTTTTTCCCTTGATTTTGCAGTTTGTGCAGTAGTGGTGTTATCAAGGCATTTGTAATGGAGCTCTGGGCCAGACAGCAGCAAACAGTTGGTCACCAGGACCCCTCTCCCTGTTTACTCTAGTGGGTGGGATTCCTGTGGCTCATTCCCATAGAGAGGGAGGGTTTATGCCTGTTTCAGTACGTATTTGGCATCTTTAACAAGTTCTAATTAACCCCTTGCATGGACCATGGCAGGGTGTGTTCACCACTCATTCTTGCAGTCTCAGCATCTGGGACAGGGTCTGCATCATCTTCTTCCAGAGCTACCTTATGAAATTGAGAACTCTCAAGAGAAATCATTCTTCTCCACATTAAAAGCAATTTCTTTTGTCTCTAATGTCCTCTGTTTAGAAGTGGTAAGCTCAGAGAGTCATTTCCCAGTTTTAGCTAGTCAGGTATGTCAAGGCAACATATGCTGGCAGTGATATTTTTCTCTCATCTGGCACTATTGCAGATAAATCCCCAAAGTGCAAGCTGACAGGATTAGGCTCTTTCCCCACAGGAAAAGTGTAGCAGGACCTTTTTCCAGTACAAAGTTTTATAAGTTTCCCTGCCAATGCATGTTTTGCTCTGGTAGGAGAATAACTGAGGACATATCTCAGTATCTGCACCAATTTAGCTGTTGCATTCCCTGCTGAGGTTGGTTAAGAGAGTGTCCAGGAGTGAGAAGAGTTTGTGATAAGGGTGCCTGTTGACTTACTCCACAAAACTCATTTCACAGCCTGATAGCCAATAGTAATAACTTCCAGTCATTACCTGGACTTGATCTGAGCCAGTGATGTCTATTTGAAAGGCTTCATAATGCACTGTCAGCTCCTTGAACCATCCAGACCTTCTCATTAAAACAGGTTAGAAATAAAAGGCCAAGTGGTTTGAAATGCCAAGTAGCTGCTCTGAGGTCCTGGAAGCACTAAGCATCTTCCAGAATCAGACCCACAGGTCTCCATGTACCTCTTCCACCAAATCATTACCGTGGCAGTGTGTTCTTTGAGATTTTGGGTAGGAAAGATCTAGTTGCAGATGTCCCTGTTCACTGCAGGGGTGTTGGACTAAATGACCTTTAAATGTCCCTTCCAACCCAAACTGTTCAATGATTTTGTGATTTACTGCATGTGATCCAGTCTGAAATAATATGAGGAGAAATAGGACAGTTCAAAAAGTAGTTCATGGTTTACTTTTACTGGCAACTTTACTAGTATTACAGCTTGAAAGAATAGTGGATAGGATAGGATAGGATAGGATAGGGTAGGATAATGTACTTGCCCACCACTTGCTGGAGTAGGGACTCATGTTTTTCCATGGCATGAAAAAGGCTGCAAGCTGCTGGGGTAGAGATATAAGACATCATGTGGCCGTGGAGCCCTGGATGAGGATGGTCCCTGGAGGAGCCGTTTCACTTGCAGCAGCCAGTGGAAAGAAGGACTGGTCTCATTCTCAGGGTCTGCTCCTGGCTTTGGGATGGTTTCTAAGTGAATTGTACAAATCTTTGTGTCTCAGTTTCTCCATCTGTGAAATTCATTTCATGATTCTTACCTACCTCACACAGCTGTTGCAAGGGACTAAAGTTTAAGTGTCTGAAAAACATCTCATGAAAAGAAGTGCAAGCTGTTAGCTCACTGAAATCTCAGAGCACCAATATCCTCCCACTCCTACTAGACAGGCTCCTTGGGCACTCTTCCAGGCATGGATAGGTAGGGACTGTGTCTTTTCCACCAGCTTAGGAGAGTTCATTAAAAGACATGAAACTAGTCATAAAGAATAGGTTCCACATTTCAGCATGTTCTGATGCCTGAGTGCTCAGCAGAAGTCAAAGAAGGAAAAAGGATCCTAGGAATTATTGAGACAGAAATAGAGGTTAGAACAAAACCCCTCATTACCACTTTATAAACCCATAGTGCACTCACATCTTGGATTCTGCATGCAGTTCTTATTTTCTCCTCCCCATCCCCATCTCAGAAAAGGAAGCATTATATCCAGAAGAGGCACAGAGAAAGGCAAAAATTATGATCAAAGGTATGGAACAGCTTTTATCTGAGGAGAGAATATAGACTAGGATTTGTCACTTTTGAAAGGAGATGATGGAGAAAAGGGCTATGATGAAACAAGGGTGAATGTCACGCTGAAAAGGGGACAATTACCAAATATTTCTCATAAACCCAAAGTTAGGAGACGTCAAATGAAACTTTAGAGCAAAGGAAAGAACTTTTTTTGTTCACCACACTGTGAAGCTCACGATCACAGGTGGGTGTCCATGGACAAAATATCAGGAGATTCAAAAAAGATGAGAATTTGAGGAGGGGAGCTGGGGGAGCATCTCCAGGGCTGTCCCTGATACTTATGCTGTCAGAGCTGGGGGTACCAAGTGAGGTTTGCTTGTCATATTCTTATATCTTACTCCTAAGTACCTGCTGTTGGGCAGAGATGGGATGCTGAGCTGGAGCAACTCTGCTCTGACCTCCTGAAGTTCTTGCAGGGCAGCCACGTGGCTGAGCATTTGAGATGTGTTATTAGCCTGTAAATATGACATGATTACTCTGTGATGAGCTACGGGAAGAATCAAGTGTGATATCTGCAAACTAAGACAGGCTTGGCTAATTTATGTTTTCCAGGCAGATAGAAGGGGTGAGAGATAAAGCTCAGTGAGAAGCAGACTTGTATACCCAGACATGTATTCCAGCTATGTAACATCTGAGTGCCTCATTTCAGGTAGGATTACAATGGCATAAAAAGCTGGATGGACACTGATAGCTGCCAAAAATGCAGGTTAGAGGAGAATATAATCATGCCATAATCTGTATCCTGCTGGCTCCTCCTCCAGAGGAAGAGCTGAATGGCACAGAGGAGGCAGTAAATGCTGAATGCACAAAATGGGAACAATGGGTAATCAGGATTTCTGGCACTTCCATCTGGAGAAGAAAGCCAATCAGACTCTCCAGGCCTGTGGGGAGGTGAAGGTATGACAAACTCATTTCCTTCCTGCCCTCAGGAAATACTTTGGTTTATCTAGCTCGGAGGCTTTTCAAATTTTTAGCAAATAATTGTGGCCTGTAGCCACCACACACATCTCCTGTGATAAATTTGCATAGACTTGAATGATTGTGCCCCTATTACTTTCTCTGTGAGTGCAGAACCTAGCAAATACACACACAAAAAAATCTCCAGCACAATCTCCATGGTCCAGGGGCTGGCAGAGGATGCTGGCACGGGGATGTGCAGCTCCAAAAGCATCTGCAGTTCCCTTTCTGGTGGGGGGAGCTTGAGAGCTGCTCTCAGAATTGCCTCAGTAGCTTGTGGACACAGAGCTCACAGGAAACCTTTTCTTTCTGAAAGGTGAAAATGCTCTTGAGAACGCCAAGAATCCCTCAGAGTTACCCAATTGCTAGATAACAACCCCATTCACACACACAAAAAGTGTTTCAGTCGTTGTCCAGCCCCAGCAGGAACTGAAAGATGCTGTGTCCACAGTGGCAGTGATGGGGAGAAGGCCCCAGGATTGGACAGCCAGCCTTTTTTTAATGGGATCACATAGTTCTGCTGCACCAGGCTGCCAATTCTAGAGCCATCCATTTTTCAAACAGCCTGGCTGAACCCACAGCATCCCAGACACAGTCAGCTGCAGAGGGGATTTAAATATGACACTCCAGACATCAACTGTTTAAAAAAGGAATGGAAGTAGGAAACCAGTGAGGAAAAAAAAATTTAAATTCCTCACGACTCCTCAAGCATGATCTCCCCACAGAAGAGGAGATTTCAGCCAAAAAAGAAGTTAGGAGAAAATCCCAGCTGAGAAAAGCACCGGGTTGGATATGTGCTTTTTCTCCATGCTTTCTGAAGAGCTTTTAGTTCACATAAACATCTCACATGGTTTCTAAGTTACCTGACCATGAAACTACTGGAGGTTTTGGAGCTTACTGTTAGAAGACATTCAGCTTCTGGGGTTCCATGGCTCCTGTAATCTGTCTGTTCACGTGGCAAACAGCTCCTGGATCACCATTGCCTCTGTGATCTCAGATGAACACTGTCTCCATTCTTTGATGATTGTGTGCACACCATCCCTGGGTGCACAGTAATCCCCCAAGCATCACTGCTCCTGCCAGGACAAGCATGAGAGAGGATCTGAACCCTTCTCCACCAAGTCTGGGTCTGACAGCACTTAACATAAAACCACCTAAATTAAAACTAAAAAT